TTTTTTTTTTATTCCTTTTCCCTATCTTCCTTTCTGTGCGAACACTCCCGAGACCCACCACTTTCACCCACCCCTGAAGAGGTCCGTGGGCCTCCGCCATGCAGGGCTTCCCCTCAACTCACCATGATGGCGGCAGGCAGCGGGTCTCGCCTATGTGGACGAGGCTCGAGGGGGAGCGGTGGCCGGGGAGAGCTGTGGAGTCCTCTGGTACGGCCACCCGGCCTCCAGTGGGTTGGAGGTGGAAGGGGAGCCGAAGACTGGCGGCGAGGCAGAGAAACCGGAGGTGAGCGGCTAGCCTGGAGGCACCGACGCACTGAGGCGTGGGCCGCGCGCTCCTGGGGGGGGGCTCCCGGTGCCGCGCATCCCCGCTTCTCAGCCAATGGGTGGCGGCGCCCCGACACCCCTGCGGGCGGGGCCCTGCCGAGGGGCGGTGCCTGGGAGCGGGTGCGCGCAGAAGGGGTGCCCGGCGCCATGGCGGGCCCTGCCTTGAGGGTATGGACTGGCCTCAGACAGGCACACGGCGCTTCCCAAGTGCCTTTGAACACCTCCCTGAAATAAGCATGCACCCTGACATACGTGGTAAAGGTTTGCTTTTGAAAAAAAAAAATGTTGGTGATAGATCGTAGTTTCAAGATGGCGTCCGGCGCCACCAGGGTTAGCGCCATTGCCCAGCCCCAAATGATGGAAATAGCTGCACAAGTAGCGGATAGGAACACATTTGTGGAAAACAGGGAAGGACATCTTCCCAGACCCGGCACCGGGAGGCATTTCCATTGCATCTTGAGGTCGATGGGGCTGGATTGAAGGGAAGGCCGGACGGGCCGCCTGGTTGAGCTTCCGGGAACCTTCTTCATTTTTTTTTTTCTCCTTCAGGAAACTGTCACTGAGTGCCTTATAGTATCAAGTGCAGCAGCAAATGCATGAGTATATTTCCCTCATGGAGTTTAAAATGTATCAGGAGGGTTTATGTTCCAAGATTTTCAGAAAGATGGTAGACCACCATAAAAATTCTAGAACATTCTCAAGATCAGGAAATGGTCTACATCAAAGGCAAGTTGTGTTGCAGTTGGATGCCATCACAACTTTGGGAACTACTTTAGTACCTTGTCTACCCGGGGGGTAACTGGGTCTGACTTTATTTTTACTTTTTTTTTGTTTTTTTTTTTTGTGCTGGTCCTGGGGCTTAAACTCAGGGCTTGGGCACCATCCCAGAGTTTTTTTTGCTCAAGGCTAGCGCTCTGTCACTTGAAGCCACAGGCTCACTTCTGGCTTTATTTTATTTTTTTGGTAGTTAATTGGAGATTAGAGTCTCATGGACTTTTCTGCCTGGGCTAGTTTAAAAAACACCATCCTCAGATCTCAGCCTCTTGAGTAGGTTAAGGTAGCAGGTTTGGGTCTGACTGTTTAATCCTCAAATTTCCCTTTCATACTGATAAAAACACATTAAAAATTTCCTTTCAAACGAACAAAATGATAAGACTTTTATTAGTGAAGCTCACTAATAACATTTAGTAATGCTGGGTAAAATAATAATGACTTATTTTTTAAACAATTTATAGCTAACCCTATAATAAATGAAAGAACACACAAGGTGAGAAAAATCAAAATAAGCTGAAAATCACAGCAGTGATAAACTAAGCTGTCTTTGGTCCTGGGGCTGGGTTTCAAGGTACCCTCCCCAGGAATTTTAGCACTGAACCAACTGATGGTTGGTTCTCATAGATGTATAAAGAGCAGTAGCTAAATAATTGTTGTGGCAGAGAGAGGTGGAACTGAGTACCCTGTAAAAGGCCATTCTTAACAGGCATCATCCTAAAAAAACAGGATTAGGTAAAATGGGAAACACTCACTGGCAGGCAGATCAGTAAACTTGGGCAAAAAGGGAAAGCACACACAATAATAATTTAGCACTGCCCTGCTTAAGTTGTGAAACCCTAGACATTATTTCATAACAATTTGGCATTTAAATTTGTGGCACTTGTAGGTTATTGGATTCTTAGAGTTAAAAAAATTGCCCTCCTGCCTCATTCCTCCCCGATCCTAACATCAAATATCTCAAACATGGTGCATCTAGAATGCCTGGCAAAAGCCAACAAAGCAACGTTAGAGGGGTACTCTACAAGCTAGACTGAAAGGGATTCTGTAAGAAAAGTACCCTTTAAAAATTAGCTCACAGTGGGCACCGGTAGCCCAGGCCTGTAATCATAGCTATTGAGGAGGCTGAGATCTGAGGATCAGGGTAGCTGGGTTCAAAGCCAGCCTGGGCAGGAAAGTCTGTGAGACACTGATTTCCAATTAACCACCAAAACCCGGCAAGTGACACTGTGGCTCAAGTGGTAAAGCACTTGTATTGAGCTGAAGAGCTCACAGACAGCGCCCAAACCCAGAGTTCAAGCCCCACAACTGACAAAAAAGGAAAAAAAAAGAAAAAAGCTCACAGTAAAAGAATTAAAAATAAATTAAATGCATATGCTGGGCTGAGAAGGTGGCTCAGTGGTAGTGTGCTTGCCTTGCATGCATGAGGCCCTGGGTTCGATTCCTCAGCACCACATAAGCAGAAAAAGCTGAAAGTGTTGCTGTGGCTCAAGTGGTAGAGTGTTGGCCTTGAGCTGAAGAGCTGAGGGACAGTGCCTAGGCCTACAGTTCAGGCCCCATGACCAAAAAAAAAAAAAAAAAAAGAATATGCCTTTTGGGTGATGGTGGCTCACTCCTATAATTCTAGCTATTCAGGATATTATGATCTAGGGATCACAGTTCCAGGTGAGCATGGGCAGAAAAAATACAAGATTCTACCTGCAATTAACCAGCAAAAAGCTGAAAGTGGAGGTGTACCTCAAGTTTCAATCCGGAGCTAAAAAGCTGAACTAGAGCATGAGTCCTTGAGTTCAAAGTTCTAGTACGAGCAACCTCCCCCCCCCAAAAAAAAAAAAAAAGCAAAAAGAGTATGTGCCAAGGCCTTATTCTAAAATTAGCTGAGGGTAAGATCCACCATCAGTGGGTTTTTGTTTTTGCTTTTCAATAATGTGTCTCAAGTTTCTGACGTTTGGAAATTTATCCAATAGAGTCTTGCTTCTCAAAGTGTGTTTATCAGACTAGAATTAGATTACCTGAATATGCTAGAATCTCAGTCTCTATTTTGGTCTGACTGAATCGGAATCTGAATTTTTATATGATCTCCAATAGCTTGACTGCAATTGAATTGGTGGCAGCTGAGGCTCTTTACTAGACCAATTCTGTGGACCTGATTTCATGGACTATTACTGGAACCTGACTATGGTCACTTTTGTGATTTTATAATCTGGCTACCCAGGAGATTTCAACAAAATCTTTCTTGCTTAAATCAACTGAAATTACTATGCTTGTTCCTTTACTGAAAAGGGTGATGACTGAGGTCAGCCACAGTGCTTGTTTTCTTGAAGTACTGATGTTTGAACTCAAGGTCTTGCACATGCATTATCACTTGAGACAGCCTCAGTACTTTTTTTGCTGTGATTAGTTTTGAGACAGGGTCTCACATTTTGCCTACCCAGGCCTGGGCTACCCTGATTCTCCTATTTATGCTTTCTACTGTAGTGGCAGTTGCACACTACCATGCCCAACTTTTTCTTTTGAGATGGAGTCTCATGAACGTTTTTGCCCAGGCTGGCCTGGAATATCAATCCTCCTGATCTCAGCTTCCCTTGTAGTTTAAAATTATACGCCCAAGCTATCAACACATGGCCAAAGTGTTTTTTTTAAGTTTAAAAAATTTTTATTTTAAATATATATTTTCATAAATACAGAACAAATTTTAACAGGAACTTATCTGCAGGAAACAATTTTTATTGTAAAAAATAATAACTATGATGAAGGTTTTTTTTTTTGCTGTTTTCTTGTAAGAAAAATCAACAAGCTTTTATCAAAGGTTAACAAAGGTAAGAAAAATTCAAAGGCATTTTGAAGCATTCAAGGAACATTTTGTAAATGACAAAACCACCAAGAGAGAGAAGATCCAGAAAAATTGACTTTGAGCACATAATCATTGATCAAAGTGAGAGTTTGGGTCAAAATCCTTTTTTTAATATATTTTTTTATTGTAAAGATACTGTACAGAGGGGTTACAGTTACACGAGTAAGGTAATGAGTACATTATTGAGCATTGTTACAACATCCTTTGTTTTCCCCTACCATCCCTCCCTCCCCACCTCCCTATTCTACCTTTTTTTAATTGTGAAAATACTTTACAGAGGGGTTACAATATGTAATTGTAATAAGTACAAGGTAATAAGTACATTTCTTATCAAGCATTGTTGCCAAAGTGTTTTTAAGAAGAATCAGATAAAATGATGGCTCCTTAGTTTTTTTTTAATGTAACAATGTCCCTCTATTGCTTCCATACTTTAAGTAAGGTTCCACTACTTAGCAGAAAATCCATTTGATAGTGATGTTTTATGAAGAGAATCAAAGAAAGGGCAGCAAGATGACCCATAGGTAAGATAATTCAGCAGGAACAGATATTGAGAGTCAACAATCACTTGGAAGAGTGTGACTTGTACTCTCAGAAGTCCCACAGAGATATAAAGAGACTTGTACTATTTCCACTGTATGTGAGCTGGGATTTGAGCCCATCCCACTTAAGTTTCAAAGTATGGTGCTTCAGCTTCTACTTGATTATGTCACAACTCTCCTTGTTCACCTTTAACCCTAATGCTGCATAAACACTCATTTTACCCAGTCTCCTAAGCCAGTTTCCTGAATTTGGGGGTTGGTCTCACTAAGTTGACCAAATTTTCATAATGGCCTCATAAAACTTGCCTAAACACATAACTCTGAAAAATGATTAACTTGTAAAAAGTAATAGGAATGATGAGAGGCACTGATAATTGATGTGGGATTTTCTGCGTGCCAGAGGTTATGGTAATCATTTTCTGTTACTTCATTTAACCTTATAACAATAAGGTTAGAAAAGAAAGCGGTTGAAAACAGATGTTGAATAGTGTGCTCAAGATCATACTGTTGGTGCATCAGAGCTGCAGTTTAAACCCAGTCATCCCTTATAGTGCTTGAGAAGCACTGTATTAGCAAACTACATGGAGCAAAAAAGGACTAGCACCTTGGATGAAGTTCTGTATTAAATCCCTGGTTTTCTTAACAATAGTCAAAGAAGGAGGTTTGAAATTTCTTTTTCGTGTGTGTGTGTGTGTGTGTGTGTGTGTGTGTGTGCGCGCGCGCGCGCTCGCGCATACACACATGCCCGTGCACACCAGCCCTGAGGCTTGAACTCAGGGCCTGGGCACTGTCCCTGAGCTTTTTTGGCTCAAGGCTAGTGCTCTACCATTTGAGCCACAGCTCCACTTCTGGCTTTTTGTGTATGTGTGTGTGTATGTGGTTAATTGGAGTCTCACAGACTTTGCTGCCCAGCCTGGCTTTGAATTGTAATCCTCATAGCTCAGTCTCCTGAAGAACTAGGATTATAGGTATGAGCCACCAATAC